TGGTAACAGTTTGTGTTTTACGACAAGTTGGTATGAGAGCCATTAAAATATGGCTTCAAGTTCTCTAAACGGTCTGCAAATGCAATCACATACTCAACTTCCTAAACTAAATGGTAGGAATTACTTTCGTTGGACCATCCAAATGAAAGTGCTATTGGAATCACAAGATTTATGGGGAACCATTGAAGAAGGCATCGATGAACCAGAGGACCCTACGACTCTTACTGCACAACAAACAAAACTCTACCAAACACGACCTCTTTTCCGGTGGATTTGTCCGCCGGAAAAGAGGGCGCCGGTGATTCGTTTTCCGTCGAGTTTTCCGGCGAATGCTTTATTTTTCCGGCTTAATTAGGAAATTTTGATTTTACTTAATAAAAAATTTAAGAAAATTTTTAAAATGAAAATTTAATTTACCGACGGATATTTCCGCCAGAAATCCGCCGGATTTATTTTCTCGCCGGAAAATTATTTTAATAAAATTAGATTTTCAAATAACTTTTTAAATTTTCCGGACGGATATTTCCACCGGTAATATTATTTATTTTTTTAATATTTATTTAAAGATTTATTTATTTTTTAAATATTATTATAAATTTTCAATATTACCGGCGGATATATCTACCAGAATAAAAAAATTATTTTTTATTTATTGTTTCAATAAATATTTAAAACCTGTAAATCTGTAAAAATATGAATAAAACTAAAAAATTAAAATACAACCAAATATCATACATTAAACTAAACAATTGTTACAAACATACAATATACAATTTAAAGTATCACACAATGTTACAAACAAACTAAATTGTTCCAAATAAACAAACAATATTCAATTAGGTGGTGGTGGGAATTGTGATTGAGGGAGTTCGTTAAACATAGCAGCCATATCATTAATTTGTGACTGAAGTTGCTCCTTCACCATCTTTCGGTGGTGATTTTCTTCTTGTAAATCCATAACTTGGGAAGTTAAGGCTTCAATTTTCTATAAAATAAATAAAACGTTATAATATTTAATATGAATTATAAACTAAGTCGATAAACATCATCAAAAGAAAAAGAGACTCATACCCGCTTATCCGAAGACGATGAACCACCTTCTGTATAGTTCCCGGTCAAGACACAATTGGGATCTTCGTTGTACTCAAACCTAATAGACGACGTTTTTTTGCTTCCGCCAACTGCTTGCTCCCACAACTCGTTATTAACTAAGGGCTAGGTGGAGGGATCATTACCGTATCTTTGGCTGAGACCCGTTGAATAGTCATCCTATATATGATTTAAAAAAGATTGCAAGTCAATTTTGACAGCATGACGGCTGTAAATGGGACGTTTCCAGGCAAAATAATAGTAATAGATACGAAAATTGTATCCAAAACAATCCKAAMRTTTGCCCAACCCAAACTAAATAATGATATATACGTAATTTCTAACGTAAACAATCCTAATGTTTGTCCAACAAATGGCAACCCAAACTAAATAATGATATATATACACATACGTAATATCTAACTTAAGCAATTATAATGTTTGCCCAACAAATGACAACCCAAAATGGAAATAATAAAATTTTAAAACAACTACACAAAGTTTACTAAGACTAAAAGTTTACAAATGAAGCCTAATCATCTGAAGAGTGATCAAACAAGTCAAGTTCTTCGTCCTCAAAGTCACTATCCGAGTATTAGAACTCCTCTTCTTCGTCACTGTTCTCATCAACATGCCCCAATATGTTCCACTAAATCCAAATAGGGTCCATTAAAGCCAAATAAGGTCCATTAAA